TCACAGTTCCTTTGCTCCCCTCGGGGTCATTTGTGGAAAGTTTGGACCGTTTAAAATCAGGACATTCGGGTTAGTGCCTAAAGTCGTTGCTGTCCTGCCTTACAGACACCCTGGTTGCGGTGCTGGAGAGGGACACCTTGGGGATTCGGGAGGTTCGTTTGTTTAATGCAGTGGTTCGCTGGTCGGAGGCTGAATGTCAGCGGCAGCAACTTCAGGTGATTCCAGAGAACAAGCGGAAAGTACTGGGCAAAGCACTTTCTCTTATTCGCTTCCCATTGATGACTATTGAGGAGTTTGCAGCAGGTAACTGAATCAAGGAGCTTCTGGGAGACTTGGTCTCTGCTTTCTCTCTCTTGTAGAGGATGAAGTATGTTAAAGTCGGTTTTGTCTGTAAGACTATCCTGTGCTATTGAAAATGTTTGACGGCAGAATCTGCAGGGTAAATTGGTCTTTTCTAATCCATTTCAGGAGACTGACTCTTTAGTTCTCCAAGTGGAATCCCATTGTCACTGTCATTGTCTGCTGTCAGTATGTTGTTGTTTTTTTTTTATTGTTGATCTGCATGAAAAAGCCAATACCTGAGCAGGGCTGTCCTTCTGTGTTCCAGCATCATGTGCAAACTACTTCAAGAGTACTGACAGTATTAACTAACTGTGATAATAGTCGTATCTTATTCCTAAAGGTGACTTATGAAACGAGGGGGAATCATTGGTTGTCTATTTTCTAATTGCTCTCCATTTTGAAACTGCCATCCGTGTGATCTGTGCCAGTCTATTACGTTAGCTTGATACAAGATAATGCATCAGTTCCTGGTCTGATTTGGCAGCTAGCTTGATTTAGGTAGCCTTTATCTGGTGAGAGTCAAGATTTGTTGGGAGGGTGGGGAGCAGGAAATGTCAGCCATTTCTGCCTATCTGCATCTTTCCTTTCTGAAGGTGTTTGGCTTTTCTTCCCCTTTAGTTATGTGGGAGGTTTGCATAGTTTTGTGATGTTTATGAAGCCAGCTCTTGAGTCTGGGAAAGCCAGGACTTACTGTCTGCTGCTCTGAAGACTGCTTGTTTGACTCACGGTCCCAGTCATCCCAAAATCGAAGGTGGCATCTTGCTTAGGGGTTATAATTTCTTAATGGGCACGTCTACATGAGACGCTTACTGTGGAACTGACTAATTAGCTCCGCAGTAAACGTCTCGGGGTCTACACTTGTGGCCCTGTTAGGGCACAGGGAAATGATAAACTCTGCAGCAGGGTAGTGCTTGTAAATACAGACACTACCCTGTTGTGGAGTTTTTTTGTGTGCAATGGCGCACATGTAGATGCTGAGCTGGCCGGGTGGGGCATGAGGGTGCTTCCGTATGGGGGCTGCCTGCCGGCTGGCCCTACACTGAAGCACCATTGTGCCCCTACCAGCCCCTCTGCAGCACATGGAGCCTAGTTGGAGCAGCCCTGGGGTGGCAGGCTGACCCCTGTGGCCCCCTTGCCAGCTGTGGCTGCTCCAGCCAGGCTCCATGTGCTGCACCTGAATAAACTCCAGAGCTGATTGCTCTAGAGTTGTTTGCCCCTGGGCACACGTTCAAATGACAGTAAGCCCCAGAGTTTATTCATGTGCACTAATTGCATGTGTGGATGCACCTAATGTGTAGTAAATGTGCCTCCAGTGTTCATTTTAGCTTTTTTTTTAAAGCCTAACAACTTACACTTTTTATCATTCCCTTAAGCACTAAGGATGGGATCTTGGGTTTTTTTTCAGCTTTGTCCTTGCAGCATTCCCAGAGCAAAGTCTTCGGCTTCTGTTCTGTGGAGGTAGGAAATGGGAACTGGGCCCACGCAAGGGGGTGTGATTTTCAGTAAAAGCAGCTTATACGCTAGTGCTGAAGTGGAGTTTCACACGAAAGCCTCTTGGCTGGCAAGCAGATGTGCCACACCTTTCCCGCAGGACAAGTAATTTGAAACGCTCTAGAAGTAGAATTGCAGCAATACTGGGTATGTTGAGACATGATCTGTTCGTAGTCGCTTCTTGCGAATAGTTTCCATAAAGCCATTTCAATGTTCACAAGACCTGTTTCTTCAAATTATGAGTCTTTTGATCCTACTTAAAGGGGTTGCTATTTAAAAAGCTGAATGTCACCAGCTAGAATTACAAGGAACACCTTAGATGCTGAAAACACTTCTGTTAGTGCGCGTTGGACACAGTTTGTATGATCATTGTCATCGTTCCTCATTTCAGTATTTCTCATGCATTGAAAAGCCTCCTGTAAATGGAGAAGCAGAACAGCTTGTAAAACTACTTTCTAAAGGAACTGGGGTGTGCTGTTTAAATGGTGTGTTGTTAGAAAGTGGGACGATGTTTTAAAACTTAATCAATTTCCAAAAGTTTGAAAGTAATGTCCCCTTTAGAAGAAGAAAATCTAGAATAAACGCTTTCTGAACAAAGATGAGAAAATATTTTTGTCTTAGGTCTTTTTTAACATCTTGTGTTGCTGTAACTATAATCTGATCCCTCCACCCCGGTTTTCCCCCCCCAGTCCGTCTTCCAGACAGGAGCAGGGAGAAAAATGGTTTTCAAGAAAGTAAGAGTCAGATGCCAAATAGTGGGAAGGGAACTCAGGAGCAGGTGTTAATGCCTATAACAATTTCTATCTCCACTTTTAAAGCTACCTACCTTTCAAGTTGATTGTCACCCTCTGACATCTGCTTATCTTCCTCCTGCACTTTATCCCACCTAGTGTCTTGTCTGCAGTGTTGAAAAATAAGTGAATGTTTATTCAATTGAGAAGTACTTGGGGCTTGCATAAAATATTAAGGTAACTTAAGTGGATGGGAAATCAGAGGCGTGCCTCTGATTCTCTAAATTGTGGTTGAATTTAGCCAAGCGCACTTTGCGTGCGTGGAACTGCATTTATGATGCATCCGCATCTGAAGTGTCCCATACAGAGAAGTGTTGAATTGAATAGCTTGATGTACAGGGGAAAATGTGGCCAGGTCTTCCGTGTTCTTGATGAAGTTGAGTGAGTTTCTTGCAATAACTTCTGCCAGATCCCTTGCATACATCACGTAGGACTCGCCTATTTTCAACAGAGTTGCTTCTTGATGTAATACTTGCGACGATTTTTGCTTATTAATCGGTGACAGGGTTGCTGTCTCTGTGCTCCTTTCCAGGTCCTGCCCAGTCAGGAATCCTTACCGATCGTGAAGTGGTGAGCCTGTTTCTCCACTTCACTGTAAATCCCAAACCACGGGTGGAATTCATCGACAGACCGCGCTGCTGCCTGAGGGGGAAGGAGTGCAGCATCAATCGTTTCCAGCAGGTGGAGAGCCGCTGGGGGTACAGTGGGACTAGTGACAGGATAAGGTCAGCCTTAATGCCAATTCTGCTGCTGATAGGTTAACGTTCTGCTGAGCTTTGAGAGTCCTCGACCTGGCCTAAACGAGAAAACTAGCATGTAAAAAGGGTCCCCTCCCAGCCAGGACCCCCAATATACAGGCACATTATATTGCGAAAGTGTGACTTGCTTCCTTAACGAGGTTAAGCCATGCCTGTGCAATAAACGGTGCCAGTATCAAGTGGGAAAACTGCAGAGTATTGACAAAGCTCTCGATTGTGCCAGCTGATCTTGCTCGAGTGTCTGATCCCTTTCCAGTTGTTTCCTGCAGCCTTATATGGTGGAGGTAGATGGCAATCAAATCATGACTTATTCCTGGATGACTAGATCTCTGGTGGTGATCCACTGGTGCTCTTGCATCTGTTTCCCTTCTGTGTGAAGGTGGTAAATAATGGGGGCTTATTGTTACAGGATTAATAGTATTTTAGGGGAGGCCTTCGGATATACGCACTTGCAGTACCTGTTTTTTTTTGCTAACATCAAGTTGGTTTCTGTAGTTTTAAGCGTCCTGTGGATTCTTGCAAGGTCACAAATGGCTGTGGTGATGTGGTTGTAAATGCTGTGAACTACTGGTTAGAGCAAAGGTCTGGGGTCAGGAGGCCTGGGCTGTTCCCAGATTTTCTTGCCTTGTGATTTAAGCGAGCTGCTGATGGAGGAAATTACCTGGAAAGTTGCATTTAATTTCTTGAGTATCTTCGTTAAGTTGCAGTATTTTATGTATCCGTGGAGCCGTCAGTTGGCTGTTCTGAGCAATTGTTTCTCCTTCCTTGTGAGCTGTGCTGGAGAGGGTGTTGGACTCTAATATTATAGAGCGGAGAGACTGCTCAGAGACTTGGCAGCTGTCTGCAACAAAGTGAAATGTTGACAGCCGATGGTTTCAAGGTACATTCAGAGCAAGGCTAGCGTGAAAATTGAGCGCTGAATGTTTTGCACTGGTCTCAGTTGGTCAGCTCTGAACATGCCACCGATCTGTGTTTTTCAAAGCACAGCATTGAAACAGTTGGCAAAACTAGTGGGTAAAGCAGTGAGGGTTTTGATACGCAGGAGTGTGGAACGCAGTCTGGTTTTGGGCAAATTGAGGCTTTCTGTGGATTAGGACAAAGTGCTACATGTCTCTTCCCTCCTGTCTTGGAAGATGGAGCTCTACATTTTGCCCTGGGGGGTGGGGAGGAACTGCTGAGGTTGTTCTCCACCCAGGCCAATCCAGACAGCAGCTGTTCCAGAGCCTGTTGTGTAATTGCTGGATTTAGCTGCAGTTGTGTCTAAAGGCACTATTTAACTGGTCTCTGCTTCAGTGAGCAGCGGTGAAATATTTAATGCTACCATTTAAAGAATTCTCATTAGGGCGCAGTGTTACCTTATTGCAGGAGGTTGGAGCAGTTCCTCCCTCCCTCTCTGCTGCCTGTCAGGCTGCCTTGACTCGGGTAGGTCACGCTGCTTCAGTCCATTCAGCTCACACTGTGGAGGCCATCTTCTGATGAAAGGCTAGCCTCTAAGTGCAGCTGTTGTAGCAGTGGGCCACAATCTCAATCTGCGCTGGGCCAAACTGGGTATGTCTGTAGCAGCCGGATGTATTTGTTTGTGCTCACAGGAAAGTCAAATGCAGACATTTTCTCCTGTGGATGTTCCTGCAACTCTCAAAGTTCCCAGTTGCTCTTCGCACTCTGCACCCTTAAAACTGCAGCACGTGCTTTGCGAAACCTTGGGTGTGAAATAAACTGTGCTAAAGTAGCCACACATCCTTGTTGTACTGCAGCAGGCCAACTTGCTGCTGTTTTGCTGACAGTTGTATGTAATTTCTCTATTTTGCAGGTTCTCAGTAAATAAAAGGATATTTGTAGTTGGGTTTGGATTGTATGGATCGATACACGGGCCAACAGATTACCAAGTAAATATACAGGTATTCTTTTTTTACTATGTAAATGTATCTGCCATTTGCTTCTATACAAAAACTTATAGGTGGTGCCTGTTCACTCTGCACTACTCCTGGGAGTTGTTTTAGAAAGGCCATATTCATGCCGTACAGAAATATGGACCAACAGGATGGCCAGAGTTCGGAAGCACATTTGCTTCAATTTTGGTTTGTTTTTGCTCAGTTCGTTCCATTGTACTGGTCACTGTGGCACTGCCATGCTTCTGCATCTTATGCTGTTTGTAATGCAATGCTTTCACATCAGTACTGTGCAGACATTGCCACACAGCTGTCCTTGCTAATTCTGGCATGTAGCAATGGTACTAGCTAGAGCTCCAAGTTTGGCTGGTACCACATTGGGCTCGATGCTTTACAACATGCAGTCAAGCATGATCCTTACCCCAAAGCAAGATTCACAAATGGGTATCACAAATGGGAAAGAAATGAAGGGGAGAGAGAAGAAGAAACAAGCGCATGTATACAGTCCACATGCTTGTAGACAGCCTGGCATATACAGGCTTTCCTGTTTTCTCACGGGGGTATCAAAAAAGCATGAAGGAAAAGAAGTCTACCAATCCAACTCTCCCCACGGAGTGGAGGGGGAGCATGTTCACAAAGTCAAAGTAATGAGTGAAAGCAGCTGCCTTCGTTTTGCTCCTTTCTAGCTTCTCACGTTCTGTCTTCCACAAACCACTTCGTACAGAGGCTTTTACCAAGCCGTTGTTCTGCCTTTGCACCTGTACACTTGGGCAACAGTCACCCTGTCCTTGAGGGGCACAAAATACCGCAAGCTAAAGCTATTGAGAGCTCCAGGCTTTTTTCATAAAATGAAGCATAAACCAAGTGCGCAGTAGGGATGGTGATTCCATATTTATGGATGCTTGTTTGGAGTGAGACGCACGGCTAAGCCATAAGGAATGCATTGGTCTGAGGTCTGGAGTCAAACTGTGCTGGCAGAAAGCTCCCCCCTCACTTAGTCTGTGCTGTGAGCGCAGTCTGTTTGCTTTGCTCTGGATCCACTTGGCAGCGTGGAGTGATGTGGGATCATGTGGCTTGGGGAGATTGAATGCAGCTCCTCCTCTGGATGCCTGGGCGCTTAATTCATATCCAACTCGATGAACCATTCACAACAGGCTGCCAATTCAGTGACGCTTTCTGAAGAGGTTTGCCTTTTTTTGAGGGCCTCTTTCTGAGGACACTGCCTTGGCACTCCAGAACTTAAAACTAAAAAGACCTGAGCAAGAATATCTCCCCATGCAATGGATATAAAATCCCAGTGAAAGGGAGTCAAGGTCTCAGAAATTGCTGAGATCCAGACTTCTATAGCCGTATAGATCCAAATCATGTTCAGTTGGATTTGAGATGACTAGGATTGCTGACTTCCCTTAACCATCTTGACCCCAGCTACGATCTTGGAGCAGGCCACTGAGAGAGAGGAGTTGCCATCCCTGGAAGTTTTCAGGAGCAGTTTGGACAGACGCTAGGCTGGGGTGGTTTAGTCAGGGATCATCCTACCTTGTCCAGGGGGCTGGATTAGATGTGACCTAGTTTCCTATGATCTCTTGACTCCGCTTGATTCTGATAAGCCAGCTCTCCTCCTTGCCAGGCATATCAAATTGGTAAACCTTTGTTTGCCTGTGTCAGAGCTCATGATATTGTTCTACTGGTTGGTTTTGGCTTTGAGAGGCGCCTCTGTCTCTGGGTACAAAGCACATGAGGGTTCAGCACCTCTGCTGTGAATACAAGAGAGCTGACTCCTTGCAGTCCCTTCTTCTTGCTCTCTCTACTGACCTCACGCACTTCTGCTTTGGTGTAGCTGTAGTGTTCAAAGCACTTGTGCAGGAGGGAGCCAGCAGACGTAGTGCAACTTTTGAGTGTGTCCCAGAGAAGCCGGTGAAACTGCCGTGTGCCTACTGAGCAGTGCAGCAGTGTTAGTGTTTCCTCCGTCCGACTTGCACATATTGGGCCAGTTAGTGGAATGGGCAATGATCTACTACGTTGGAGGAAACATGAGCATATTTAATTAAGACTCTTGTCTGTTGAATCTACCTTCCAGATCATCCACACAGACAGCAATACGGTCTTGGGCCAAAATGACACTGGGTTCAGCTGTGATGGATCCTCCAATACTTTCCGGGTCATGTTTAAAGAGCCTGTTGAGATTTTGCCCAACGTCAACTACACAGCATGTGCTACATTAAAGGTGCTGTACTGGGTTCTGTCCTTGGGTTTATGGGGTCAGGAGGGAGGATTAACAACAGACCAAAGCGGCTCTGAGCCATCGTAGTTCTTGGTTTTAGATCTCCCAAGGTACCTTGATGCAGTTTCCTGAGATGTCACTCTGTAGCCCTTAACTCCTGACGTGCCTGGTAAAGCTGGTTAGTAAATGGATTCTGCAAAGTTTGC